CGCCTTCGACTTCGCTGGCACTTGAGATGGAAACAGGGGGAACGGAATGTTGTACTTTTTAATTCGGGGTTTGTTTTTGGTTTACGTAACGTTGCGAAACTCAGTAACGTGGTTCTTCGGCGGGGCTAAGGGGCCAAGTCAAGACGGGAGTCACTCGTTGCGTCGTGTCGGTGGATTTCGCTGCTCCACGCCATGTACCATATTGTGGATTAGCTGTTTTACCAGTCTTAGTGCAAGCTGTCTGTTTCATTCGTCTTGTCCTCATTGCCGTGCAAACGTACAACATTGGAAGATTGATTTTGATTTGTTGGGCCATTAGCGTTTTAGTTCTAGTGAAGCTCGTCCTCCCGTGCGCACGGATGAAGGCTGCCACTTCCGCGCGGATCTGCCTCACCCAATTTAATTTATTCACAGCATTGTTGGCATTCAACTTCACAACAGTGACTTACTTTGTTTTCTTGTTCATCTTTCGGTCCTCTTTGGCTGCATAGGGGGACGCAGCAGTGAGTCGGCGTCGCACCCATTAAGCACTAGCCGAACGGTACGAAAAACTGACGCCGTAGTAATGGCGGATTTTGTGTAGTTCGCGCGTTTGGCACCAGAGGCGCTTACTTTTGGGAAGCCCCTATTGCGTAAGGTTATGGAAAACTGCCAAGGTATATGTACATATGGTAGCGAAGCTTCCATAGAACCCCACGTGTCGAAAAAATGGCGGCTCATGGGGCTTCGCTAGCGCCATCTATGTGTCGTGATAGCATTTCCGGCGGAACAAAAAATAAACAGGAAGTTACGTCACTTCCGAAAAAAAAACCAAAAACGTGACGTCACTTTGATGTATTGTTTGGCGCGAAAATTAAATATAACAAGAAACCGAGACTGCAGGCAAAAAGGACGATCGTCCTTTTTGCCTGCAATCCCGATTTCTAAAAAAAGCCTCAAAGCTTTCTGGTACTAAAAAATTTCAAACAAAGCTGTGCCAAGCTATGTTTGACTTCTTTTAGTGTGTTGTCCTTCTTGCCTGCAGTCTCGGTTTTTTTGTTGAATTTACCCCATCCCGTTTGGACTCTTAAATCTGCGCGAAAATAATTTAAGTTTTGTATGCGGCCGCCTTTTTTAGGCAGCTCACTACGAGAATTTTTTTTTTCATCCCACAGAACTACTTTTGCTTTTTTCTTCAGCTTTTCAGAAATGTGGGAGCGGCTTTAAGGTGATTGACCTCACAAACAAAGTGAATAACAATAACGTTTCTCGAGTGTGTTAGCGTTGAAGATACGCAACAGTAACTCAAATGCAGTCCAATGTTGCACTAACATTTTATTCACTTAAAACTGCTTACAATCACTCAACCAGAACGCTCGTCAGAAGCATACAATCATACCTAGTTTTAAGGTGGAAGAAAACTAGATCAATACACAAGGCACATTATGACAGGATAGCACGTAACACACTGTACAATTGGTTGCCTGTTGTGTGGACATTGTCAATTAATAGACAGCCATCAATATAAAAAAATTCAAAGTGTTTGGAGGAAAGCTGTGTTCAACGAAAATAACAGCCGATTTTGCCGTTCTTTGGCAAGGTACCATAATCCAGAAAACTTTCTAACTTGAGTATGATGGTGCTGTGTACTCTGTAACCTCCCTTGTACGCGTAAATAATTTTGGTGCCCTCCAGTACGCTGCAGGTAATAGGCCAGTGTTTCGTCGGACCCTAAAACCACAGGTTTAATTCAGTGACAAAACGACATGAGCAGTCAGTAACCCAAAGCACAGTAAGCACCTTGACTTTCGCGATGACCTAAAATTTAATAATTTCACAAGTTGAAAAACCTCGCGAAAAATGACTCAGTCCAAGGATATGAAAGCAATAAATATTGTTCTAGATCGCGAAATTGTGCGCCCGCCAGATTTTTTCGAGACACGTTGCAAAATATCGAGCAAACGAAAATAGTCTTTTATACCACACGAAAGGCTAGGAAAGCACATATACTACTTTTAAAATGTACGCTGTGTAGTCTCAAGAGCTTAGCCTTTGCACGTGCTGCCTAGTTTTACACCTTGCTGATGCATCAACAAGTTCAGTGTTTTTTTTCGTGCAAACCAGTGTAGCCTGACTCTTGCAAACAGAAAAAACAAGTCGTCATACACATTGTTGTCACACACAACAAGAGACTTTTGGACCTCCTGATGAAAAAGTACACAAAGAGTGCGCCCTATGCCCTCCTTTGAAATAAGGTTGTTGATCCTCGCCTCGAAAACACGCTCACATGCCTCAACGAATGATGTGAAGGAAGGGGAGGGAACTGACAGGTTTCCAAAGTCCGAGTCAGCAGTGCCTTTCACACTCAAGTACAGTAAAACTTGGTTTCCTTCAGAAAAACATGCATTTTCTTTCTTCAGCTCACATCGCTGAGATGTCCCGACACAAGAATGACCCTTCAAAAATCTTGTCGCAAGCCACCCAGAAAAATAAACCATGTTGTTCGCTACCATGGCCGAAGGGTAGTTTAAGGGCGACTCGTCTGCTGCGCTAAGGAAAACTGAGCTTCCCAAGGGTAGAGAAGCAGAGGGTGCCGATAGGCCTACCGGAAGAGTAGCAAGGAGGGACATCATGTCCTCAGCACAGTTTGATTTTTCAGTCAGCTTGAACAAGTTGCTTACCAAAAGATGTCTGAACGCTGCTTGAAACTGACGAGAAGTAGAGTTTGCGTTTGCTCCAGACTTCGAACGTATAATAGCAAAGGTGTTTTCAAGCGTATCCTGGTTTAAGTGGCGGGTTAAAATGTAGGTGAAACCAAAATTAACTGTGAGGTGATTGCAGAGCATCATCAGAGACCTCATTGTTAAGCAAAAGCCACGAATGCAGTTTGGCTGCCGTCTACATCCGAGTACTTGCAGGGTTTCAAAAACTTCAATGCACTCTTTGAAAAACTCTTCATGGACAGAGCCATTATGCATCGCAGAGGCGAAGGGCGTTTTTGCCGATTTGTGGGAGCTATTTAGGCTGTCAAAGAGACGGTCGATTCTTTCAACGAATCTCGCTGTGTGAATAGCTGCAGCTGGCAATTGCTGGAACGTTACGAAGGCATACATTGCAGCAGCACAATGGTTGCTAAAAACTTGGGCCGCTAGTTTCACCGACATCTTTGAGCAGACCGTCAAATCAAAGTGCTTTGCGTTCAGCTTGGGCATCGAACGGATCTCAAGTTTCCGGTCCTTTTCATAAGCTTCCTTTATGTACGAGCTTTTTACTACTTGATCACAAACCTTGAAGTCATACTTAAATAGCATGTTTCTGAGGCACTTCAGGAGGTGCGGAGCATCAAAAAGGAAAAAAAGAGGTTTGCCGTTGACATCTATGTAAGGCTTCTCGGGGGTTATAAGGCTTGAAAAAAGGGAGATGTTTTGGCTCCCCTGATCACATACCACAGCTACTGGCTCCAGGCCAGCATCCACAAGGAGGCTGTAGCACTGGAAAAGAAGATCTTGCAGGACATTCGTAGGTGTGCCTTTATGAGCGAAAAAGTAGCGAAGTGGCTGCTTCCATGGTGTTCGAATTCCTTTTGCCATAAACACAAAAGCCTTGTTTGATAGGTTCGCACCTTGCACACCATTACTATACTCTTCAAGTCCTTCAAACCTGTCAGATGAGGGGTTGTATGAGAGCTCTTTTTTAATATGCATCTCATCAAACACTATGCTGCAGGCTCGATCGGCTCGTGAAAAAGAAGTCGCTCGCCTCTTTACCAGCTCGAAAATTTCGGGGTAAAATCCAACCCTCAGTGGAACACGCTGAAGCCACAGCTGCAGTGATCGGACTGATGGCAATCGAAGCAGTCGTCTACAATACTTATAGCCTTTTGGGCTATGAAAGTAGAGGCCCAAAGCCAAAGACTTGTTCTGGCTGCACCACCGTCGACCAAACCGGCTCACACCCCTCATCCTAAGCTGGGCCTCAAAGAGTGCAGCGACAGCTGGAGAAACATGAATGCGGACACTCTCAACAACTTCAGCAACAGTCCTCATCTGACGCTGTCGTTGCAGCCTTCTTTGCAGCCTCTTGTTTTGCTCTCGGACCTGTCGTACCTTGGCCCTCAGTGCGTCCATCTTTCTCTTGTCAGTGCTGCGGGCCTTGCTTGATGCTGCAAGGTGACAAATCACCCAGATCAGTAAACTGTAAAAATGTTTATATATATGTAAGTGGTGGCCAATAAGAACTTGCATTCCTTGTCAAGTTGCACAATTTTTTTTTTTTAAACCAGGTACAGTGAAAAGTTTGATAACGTACTTCATACGTGCAAATCAAATTTAAATAAGGTTAGCTTCATGCACGTATGGCCCAGGCAGTTTTTAGCTAGCTATAAAAAATGCTGCCTTACACGAGGCTTTGCGAAAAGATTATTGCATTACCATTCAGTGAAACCCATTCTGGTGTTTGGGTGGTTCGTCTGTGAAACTTTATGAACATTTTGTATACATTACTTTAAATATAATAATGTGAAGCACAAATAAATGGTGGATTTTCAACTGACTCCAGTTTGTAGCTGGCTGCCATCCGGCCTTGTGTTCTGTGACATAGTGCTATATGTACCCTTGTATGTACCGCCAACTTTCAGAATAAATTTTAGTATCTTCAAGTCATCTAATACCTATAACTAGCCTTGGTTGTTTATGTTCGACGACTAATAATTTGTGCACTTTAACAATACAAAACAAAAAGGTGCAAGAGGTAAAATGAAAGAACACTTACCTCTGTGAGAAAGTACACCGGCACTGCTAGAGAGAGAGTCCTCAGGTGACGGTCCATAAATCGACGGCGCCATGTCAGCCATGTCTCCGCTGGACTCGTGAGCAGGAACAGCATTTTGAGGAAGGGCGTAGCTATGATCAGCTTCAAAATAAATAGAAAAAATAGAAAGTGCTGTTACAATAACTGTAGTAAGAGCAAACAACACAAAAAAGTCAGAACAACAAGGCGCGCAAAAACGCCCTGCTCTCCCATCACTTACCATGAGCCTCGAGTGGACTGTTCTCTAGTGGGAGACAGGAATATGTGTGGTCCCATGAAGCTGACGAACATCCCTCTGCGAAGGTAATGTGAAAACAGTGAATTAGTGGTTGAATTTCAGATTCATTCTAATTTTTTAACATCTGAAAATGAAAAAAAAAAAAAATTACCTTCTTCCAGGGACAGCCCGATTTCGGAAGACTGGTCGTCAGGAATGCCACAGGAACTCTCCGAGTCTGGGCGGCTGGAGGATGTGCAGCTCGATGAAGATAGAGAACTCCTCCCTGCATATTTAACACAAAGTTATTGAAGGAGTAGCGGTTGAATTCTTGGTTGATTCTCCTATTTTAAAATCTGAAAAAAAAGTCACCTTCTTCTAAGGACAGTTCCATTTCGGAAGACTGGTCGTCAGGAATGCCACAGGAACTCTGGGAGTCCGAGCGGCCCGGGTATCGGTAGGTCGGTGGGGCTGGAGAACTCCTTCCTGCAAATTTAATATGAAATTAGTGAAAGAGTAGCGGTTGAATTTCTCCCCAATTCGCTTATATTTAACATCGGAAAAGGGAAATAACCTTATTTCAAGGACAGCTTCATTTCCGAAAGCTGCTTGTCAACGTGGACAATGCAGGTCTGTGGGCCCATATTGGAGTCGCTTTCTCACCTGAGGTTAAAAATGTAGTAAATGGGGCCTGGAATGAGACTCAATCAATGACTCCTATCTGATTCCCCACATTTGTCCAAGCACACTTTATTCTATAGCAAAATGCTCAAGTGATGAAGAACATGAACTAACACAGTGGTGACGGCATTTGCTGCCTCTTTATGGTAGGTACAGCGAAAAAGCTCACCATTTGCCACTGCAGAAACTGTACAGCTCTCGCTTGAAACTTCGCCACGTGTCGTTTCTGTGAAATTGCATAAATGTTACAAGTCCACAAAAGCAATTTTTCGGGCCCATGTGCTAACTATTTCCCTAATCAGTGGGCCTTGACATGGTTATTCTCAAAGCGCGTCGGAAGGTCTAGTGGTCTGGTCACCTTCAGGGGCAAGCACAGTCGGCACTGCATTGTGGCGTAGGTATCCAGGCCGCAGGAAAGCTGACGCCTTGAAATGTAAAGAGCAAACAACCATGTTTCGTAGCTGCCATGGAGTCTTCCCCTGTAGGCCCCGGTTGTTGGAGAACCGAACCCATGCTTCACGCCTGCGGATAAAGCGCGGTGCTATCTAAGTGTCTTGCGTACTTGCAAAGAGCAAATGTAGCCAATATGTGCACACACCAAAGCAAATCGGAGCGAGGACATTCACAGATTAGTGAGCAAAACTCTCTGTATGAACCACAAAAAGATAAACATGAGCCTTTAGTGCAGAGGCTTTTAAATGTATCTATGTCGTGTTGCATCCTTGATTAGAGCGTCGATGAGTATGACCCCATACTCCTGGGGGGCAAATCGGTTCAGGTAAATTCAAATATCCTGGGCGCTTTCGTAATGAGCGCGAACAACGCTGCAAAGTCAGCGAAAACTAACAACAGTTAAGAGAACATTTTACAAGGGGGGCATGGCCACAACACAGCAGGCACCTCACTGACAGGAACAAAATCTCACTTTCGAGTGTCGACAGGAAACCGGTGCAGCGAGACGCCAGCCGTGCGGTTGTCACTTCGGCATTCTTCCACGGAGCAACGCCTCGTTGCATAATGTGTTGAGCTCATTGTCACGAAGGACGTTGAGCCCGTCGGACGCAGTAGCGTCCAACCGCACGAAGGTGACTGTTCCTATATCACGCTGATATTACGCTCCTGCGCACGTAACTTGCGTAATCAGGCTGAGCGAACGAAACTTTTCAAACTATTTGAAGTGACGGTAGAACGATTCAAAAAGCACGTGGAGACCTAAAAGAAGCAAGCAGACGGACAACAAGAACCTGCCTCTTCGTGCAGCACGATGCCTCTGCAATTTATCGCTATTAAAAGCCAGCCTTGTTGATTGTGCAGTACAGAGGGCGCTAAGGGCAAGTTAGAATATCAGTAGTAATAAAAGCTATTTCAGCGTTCTCGAGCGCGATAAACCTTATTTAAGACCACTAATAACAACATACAAAATTTAAAATTACAATTTAGTATAATTTAAATTAAAGTTATTTTATTTGTATATAGTTTGCCATAACGTCTCCTAGTCGCGCTTCAAACGCACCGTAACCACGTGACCCTCCTGGTTGATGTCGCTGGCAATTTGTTTTGTACCGTGTTTTGGCCCAAGTTTCGCTACCATCTGTACATATACCTTGAAACTGCTATGTCAACCAGTGGTTCTGCTGAAGGCGCAAGAAAATTTGGGACCGGGCTTGTCCAGTCGATGTCGGGGACGTTGAAGTCACCCGCGACTCTGAGGTTACGATTACTTAGAGAATGGCGGCAGAGGTACTCATTCAGTTTAAAGAAAAAATCGAGATCCGTTTGAGGGGGGCGGTAAACCGCACCGATAACAACGTTGCTTTTTCTAAGGACCACCGATGCCCAGACACATTCTTATCTCTCGATATCTTCCAATCTGCTCAGTACTAGCGATTCGTCGTGTACAATAGCGACACCCCCACTTCGACCTTCTTTGTCTTTGCGTAAAATTCTATAGCAAATTAGGACATAGGACAAATTTCGTGATCGCCGATCTCTGGACGGAGCCATGATTCTGTTATTACGATTATATGCGGCGAGTAAGTTACTATTAGGCTTTCAAGGAGTGCGACCTTGTTCACAATACTTCAAACGTTAACACTGATGCAACGTAGCTCTTCGTAATGGTATGTTTGTCATGTTTGGGAATCGCGTTCCCTTATACGGGAAGGAAGCTTCACCCTGGTATTTTTTGTCGCATTCCACGCGAAGAATTCTTTGCTGATCCTCAATTTGTCATGTACCAGGGATACCTTAACTCCGTCCCGTCTAATGTTGGAACTACTGTCTCACAATAACCTTCTTATATGTCTAGTTTCCATCGAGCAGTCTTCACGAATCGAGAAGTCAGTCCCTTTGAGTCTATAGCAGTTTTTCAGGATATTCAACTTTTCGTAAAGTTCATGAAGATTTATTATCACGAGGTATATACGCACAACGGTATTTTAGAGCGCAGCTCTTAGGGGCCCGTTTCCAGCCTGAGCGGCGTCGGCGTCGCCGTCGGCGTAACCGCGCCCCTCCCTCTCCTCCTCCTCCTCCCCTCATTGTGTAGTATGGTCCGGGCGGGTCACGTGACCTCGGGGGGAGGGGGTCACATGACCCGTTTCCAGCCTGTGCGGCGTCGGCGTTGGCGTCGGCGTCGCCCCTCCCCCTCCGCTCCTCCTCCTCCCCCCTCCTCCCCCGCCAAGGTCACGTGACCCCGGGGGGTCACCCCCCTCCCCCCGCCGAAGTCACGTGACGGCCCGCCCAAAATCATGTGATCCCGTCCCCTTGAGGTCACGTGACCCCCCGGACCTCTGCCCTCCTCCTCCTCCCCTCATTGTCTAGTATGGTCCGGGGGGGTCACGTGACCTCGGGGGGAGGGGGTCACATGACTTCAGTTGGGGTCACGTGGCCTCGGGAGGGTCACGTGACTACCCCCTCCCCTCCCCCCCCCGAGATCACGTGGCCCCCGCGAGGTGAAGAGGAGAACGCAGAGGAGCAGGGAGGATGAGCAGGGCGGACGAATCCGAATTTTCATTTCTCGGAAAAATTATTTTAAAAGACTTAACTCTTATCCCTCGGCCGGCTTCGGCTTTCCTGCTGCACGGTTGAAAAACCCTGCAGCAGAAAAATAATAGAACAAAGAGAAGCTAAAAGCTGCTAAAGTGCGTCCAGGAGGGGGGGAGGAGAGACGAGGAGGCGGAGGCGAGGGGAGGGGAGGAGCTTGAAGGACGAGGAGGTGGTAAAGGAGAGGGAGGGGGAGCAGGAGGGGAGAAGGACTAGCAGGCATGATCACGAGGGAGGAGGAGGAATATACCCTCCACTCCTCCTCCTCAAGAGCTGTGCTCCAATTCGGCGTTACAGGGAGTTGTAAACGGCTTTCACTTTTTTGATTGTAACACCAATTTTCATTGCGACCAATTGGCTATTAGGTGCTGCGAGGGGTCGGATGTTTTACGTCAATTTAAGGCTAAAACTGTCAGCCGCCTTCAACGCCTAAAAGGCGTCACAAAATCACGTCAATATTGCCGTGACTTTTGTAACGCCAATATTGGCGTGACATTTAACGCCAATATTGGCATGACATGTAACGCCGCGAGTAGCCGTTAAAAAAAAAAAGCACTTTTTTTACGCCAAAATAGCTCTTACCGGACTAAGAGTGTACTTCGGCTTGTGATTGCCGTGTAGCTTCGGTATAGCCTTTTGTTTATTTGCCCTTGTGAGGACTCCAAGACTCGTTTTAGCGAGCAACTCGGTGCGCCCAAGACTGCCCAGCTGTTCCTCTAAAGATGCCGAGTACAACTTGTAGTGCTGTGGGCTGCTCAAACAACCGGCTGCACAACAGAGGTGCTTTTTCACAAGTTTCCAACGGACTGGAAATTGGAGAAGGTGTGGGTAAACGCTGTTCGACGAGTAAACTTTGGACTTCGGCTTTTACGCGCCCGAAGAAAAAAGAACGAAGAAACAGACGTGTACAGCCCAGCATACTTGTGTTTGGACGCCGCGGCCCACGCCGGAGAGCCTCAAAGCTTCGTGTCTGGTACTAGCCCGTAGCGCGAAAGTGAGAGGGCCCAAAGTACTGGAAGCCCATGGTTGAAAAAACCCCGAGACTGCGGGTAAACCACACAACACTAAAAAGTCTCTAACACAGTTGAAATTTTTATTTTCCAAACCTGGTTATATAGGCACTTCAATACAAAAGAAAAAAAAAGGGGGAGAGGGTGAGAACCACAAAGAATGCCACTTTTTACCAACGTAACCTCTGACTAAACAACAAGGACAACAGACTCTGCGTCATGCACTCCTCTTATCTTTGACCCCTCGCTTCCCGACCGCCAAACACACTGGTAACCCCAAGCCCAGTAACATATATACAAAAAAGAAAAAAGAAAAGAACGACCCATCGTCCCGTCTACCCGAAAACCGACAGACATAAACCTTGAAGGTCAGAACTTTTCACAGCCTAAGAAAACGCCGCAGTTCATGGTCCAACCCAAACGACGGCTTATTACCTGCATTTCCGTGACCTAATATCGTTAATGACTCTTTTATCAACCGCTTATGATCATCTTTTTCCCGCAACTCTACTGAAGTTAGATGCCACAGCGGTACGCAGTTTCTACATTCGATAACATGTTTTGACACTTAGGAGTCCGGGTCTTTTTTCATTATACAACGTTTGTGTTCCATCAAGCGCTCATTTATACAACGTTTAGTCTGTCCAATATAACAGAGGCCACAATCAAAGGGTATCTTGTAGACGACACCCGACGAACATTCTACATCCCTTTCTCTGTGTTTTATCGTGCAACCTGAAACAGTTGAGGCAAAAGGGGTCAAACGGCTCAATCTATAATCTGTAGAAAAGGCACTGGCAGAGTGGCGTAGAGTACGCCGCTCCATCCACGGAACCCCGATGACAATTTAGGCCTAGCGACGAGTACGGAAAACCGCACACACGGCGACAGACGCCCGGTACGGCACCGAACGAGTTCACTCGTTTTCCAGTCGCTAGCTTTGGGGTATACAGGCGACGAGTACGGCATTGCGCACGCACGGCGGCGGCCGCCGAGTACGGCACCGTACGAGTTCACGGGTTTTCCAATCGCTAGCTTTTGCGTATCCGCTCTAACTCTTGCTACATATGCTGGATAACCACCGTGTATACAGAATTAAAACAAGACCAGCTTACCTCCCATCTTTAGACGACTAACGCAACAGAGATAGATACCATGATGGAACTTAACCCGAGACAGGGGTAGAAACAGAAACTTAAAAGTAGAAGGGACAGAGACAAGTGAAGAAGAGAACGTCTCAAACGCAGCTAAAAGATTTATTTAGTCCCACATCCTTATATACTCACAACCAAAAGGTCACCCAAACACTCAACATGCCTTTTTCAAAGACACAACATACCAGGAAAAAAAAAAAAAAAATTCAAAGACAACAATGCAAAGCGACGCCCCCTCAACCAATACTATTGCTTGAGGGGGCGTCCCTTTGCATTGTTGTCTTTGACAGCAATGCAAAGAATCAAGCAATTCCCTTTGCATTGTTGTCCTTGAATTTTTTTTTCCTGTTGTGTTGTGTCTTTGAAAGGGGCATGTTGAGTGTTTGGGTGACCTTGTGGTTGTGAGTATATAAGGATGTGGGACTAAGTAAATCTTTTAGCTGCCTTTGAGACCTTCTCTTCTTCACTTGTCTCTGTCCCTTCTACTTTTAAGTTTCTGTTTCTACCCCAGTCTCGGGTTAAGTTCCATCATGGTAAATATCCACCAGCTCGCTTGTACTTTAACCGTTTTTTTGTACAGAGATAGGTGCCGCTCGGCCTGTGTACTTGTTGAACGAGAACGATCCTGACGTCACGTTCACATAGCGACTGATTTCCAGTGTTGCCGGGGCCTCGAGTGGCGAGTTTCGGTTTTGTTGGCCGCGCCCCAAACAAAACTTTGAGGCGTCGATATCTTTAAGACTACGCACAATAACGAGAAAAAAATTACGCCTTGCAATTCAGGGACGCTGACTGCACTAAAAACAGTCGCAATCCCAATATCGAAAGTATGGCCAGGAGTTGCCCTTTAAACTCCTCATTTGCTGAGAATGGGCCAGGCGCTAACTACGGCGGGTGAGTGGGGGGGGGGGGGGGGGTTCAGGCTCCTCCCCCCTCCCCTCCCCTTAACCCCCTCTTCCGAGCTCTTCGGAAAAGCAAGTACTATCGCGATGGTACTTGCTTTTCAATACTCTCACTGTCTTTGTTCCATTCAACTTCGACATTCATGACACGAAGGAGTAAGGTGGGAGCCTGCATCTTAATACTGTTCTAGCTATATCACAAAAAAGCTATAGTAATTACTATTTTTGTACTAGGACGGAGATATATGCATAGAGCAATGTTCGCTATCAAAACTAACAAGATGACAGCGCTAAATTACTAACCACACTCGTACATTTATTCGTTTGCTCTTGTATCTGGAGCTTGATTCTCATTTCCATGTTGCAATGCAAAATGATTATTTCGAATAATTATTCGCTAGGCAAAATTGCATTCCTAAACTGGTTCCGGGGGGGGGGGGGGGGGGGGGGGGAGGAGGGGTGTTTTGTCGGGCCTTCCCCGGAAATTGGAAACTTTCCGCAAATGGGGCCAGATACTCAAAAGTGCATTAAAGCGCCACGGAAAAACGTACTTGCACCGCGCGTAGTTCTCGGCGTAACTTATTGACCGCTCTGCGTTCGCGAAATATACCGGGCACATTGCAGGAAAAGAAAACCGCTTTGTTTTTTTTGCTGCAATACTAAACTTTTTGTTACCGAACGCACAATATTTGTTAAAATGTAGAGCTAGCAATTGGGATCAGAGGACACCGTTCGTGAAGTTCTTTTGTTGCTAAAATAATTGGACTTGACACCCGGTACGTTGATTTTCAATTTCGAAACAACTTCCATTTTCAAAAAAACTTCCAATTTCGAAACAGTTTCCATTTATAATTTTAATATTTTAGAAAATAGCGTTCTATCTTAAAACTTTCGGTTGGTCCGTATGATGCGGCAAGCTGGTTGGTTCTAATAATCTCTAGTTTCAATCGTTCTTCGGCGTTACAATTGTGCATAAAGCTGATGACGTCCGAATATATATGATTGTTCAGCTGGCTATTCAGCTCATCGTTAAAACAAATTGGCACTGAACAACTGCGCAATGACAAGTAATGAGAGTTGCACAAAATACTAGAAAAATATCCGAGTCAAAAACCAGAGAATAAGATAAAATAGTAACTGAGTATAATACTTGATACCCAACTCTAACAAGCATCTGAGTAGAGTTCGAAATACTCGAAAAAGGTACTTATTACTTTAAGGAACCTCTCAGGTTACAGTTAGCTCAGCATTCACGGCTAAAAAAATTAATGCGAATGAGGCGAAGATAAAAAACATCATAACCCACAATATTTAATATTGCGAGAAGGACGTAATACGCGAAAACATGAACGTAACCGGAAATCATAATTTAAAGCTTTACCAATTCATAATTGTTTTATATTTATAAGCTCAAAATTATGTTCACGTGCTTCTGCAGATTTGAACCCTAAGCGATTCAGGATGACAAAATCTCTATCTTTAGAACGCAAAACTTGCGCCGTAATTCAATGTTTGTTAGTTTCAAACACTTAAAAACAGTAGCGTAAACACGTATGACCTTGGCAGTGCAAACGCCTCGACTGGCGCAGTTCACCGCGTCTTTGATGTCCCTGCTCTGGGTACCCCCTCTCGCGCGAAATACGCGTGTGCATATCGCTTATTAAATGGTAAAAAAAGTTTGAGTTCTGCTGGAGTCGGCTGTACTTAGTGGCACTGTATAATAACAGGGAGGGAACATATAGTGCAATGGCTTCAGCTGGAGTGCCTCATTTACAAAAAAAAAAACAAGTTTCAAGCAAATTTTCTAGAAAAGTGTGGGGTAAAAGGCGCCTTTTCGCGTGTTTCACTATGCGTACCTAACAACAGTGGACAGATGTTGCCAGTAGAGTTGTGCTCTGAGAGCTAGTGAATATGCGGTAATATAAAAAAGAACAGACAGAAGCTATGACGCGAAATGATTTAGCTAAAGGCTCATAAGAGCCTTTTCAATGTTGTATTATTTATCATTTTATTCATTTATTAATACTTTCAGCCCATACAGGGCTCTTACAGGGTGAATTACAATGCGTAATGAACACATACAGGTCGCTGGTACAAGATAAGAATTTTCCCGTGACTACAGATACATGTGTTCTTAAGAAAAAATAAGCGTGTTTTGGGGCCCGTGTAAAAGATCTACGCATTGCAGGAAACAGGTGCTCCGTAAGAATCTGATGCTAGCTGTTGGGATGGAATGCCAAAGTTTGAGAACACGTTACCTTGATCAAAAGATACAATAGCAAAAAATAAATTTCTTCCTGAGCTGATCCCCACCAAAGCCTATGACATCGTCAGAACAAAAGAATGGCGTTGCGGTCGCCTTGGAAATTTATTTCAGAAAAGAAAATAACAAAACGTCAGCAAGAAAGAAAACAACACTTTGTTGCTTGCTGCCAAGAGTTTTTCACTGACAACTGTAAATGCCACATGCGTCCACAACGTCAGCTCTTACTTGGACGATATTATGCTTAGAAAGACATCGGCTCCAAAAAATATACTTGCTTGGGAGAAGAGCGTGTTGGTTTGGGTCATGGATGAAGAAAGAATAAAACAATTAAAACATTAAAATTAAAACAAAATTAAAACTTTCCCTTTTATATTTTGACTCAGGTAACTTCTTGTACTCAAACGTTTGGGCTCTACCCCAACCACTAGCGTCACATCCTCACAGAGTTGCAGCTTTTCGCGGTGCGTATAAATTATTTACGCAAGCAGAGTAAAGAAAAAGCACGGTTATTTTGTTTTGACAACACCCGGTACTTGAGTAATTTGATGTAACGACATAATGAATATTTGGTGAATGCAAAGGTTTTTGAGAATGCGTTTACCCCTTGCCCCCTATCTAATTATTTTAACGAAAATCGCAAGTGACATTTTAAACATCATGAAAACGTCGGTACACCCTCGGAAGGAAGCAGAATAACAAAACCCACATGTTTCTCTAGATTGGTTTCTGCAATCCCTCTCACGTCAAAAAAAAAAAAAAACAAAAAAAAACAAAGAAAAACGGAAATGCAACAACAATAGACATGGCCAATGAAAAAATAAATAATTCACACTGACTTCTCTGGCGAAAAAAAAATCAACAAAACAAAATGCATGACGTAAACCGGTTCCTTGAAAAGGGCAAGGGTTCACTCATTGTCCGTAGAAGGCCCATTGGCTGTTTGCTGACCACATACCCCAACGGTTTGATTTTGAGGAGGCATTTCGTCTCTCTAGCTAACCTGTCACAAGCGCATCTGCACTGCTAAAATATGCTGCTTAAGCTGGTTCTGATTGTGCAAATGTGCAGCACCATACATGGATATAAAGATCGTGAGTGTAGGTTCATTGCAGTTTACAAATTTGGATTACAATATCTCAGTGCGAATATATGAATATTGTTCCCCTTCGAACGGCATTGATTTCAGGCATATGCAGGTACAAAATATGCAACAGGGTATTTCTGAAACACCTTCTTTATAGGCATTGCTCAAAGACTTGCATGGTCCTTTGGGTCATTCAAGCAATATTAGAAATAACGCCAGGAGTTATTTACAAATGGATGCACAGTTAAAAAACATAATGCGAGCGAAGTTATAATGATTTTGTTTACAAACTTTTTAATTTAACTTTAATTAAATATCTTAATGACCCACAGTAGCTTTTTATTTATTTAACACGAACGCTTTTAACTCCATTTTGAACGGGAGGAAGCATTGGGGCTTGATTTTTTTAAATTTGATTTAAGCATTTTATTTGATGCTTTGTCTGGCTGGATAGCATACAATTATGCGTTCAAGATCCTGCCTATTCGTAACGTAAGTTGGTCTGCTTTTTTTGCAGGGATGTGGTGTCATCACACGACGCTTAGTTCTGATTGGCTTTGATTGAAGGGGGTCGACCTTAAAGCAAGCTACCTTGAAGTGTACCCACTATCTTTCAATCAAGGCCAATCAGAGCCCTGCGATCTGATGTCAATACAACCCCTGCAAAAGAAGCAGACGAACTTGCGCTCCGCATTGGTCTTGCCTTGCGAGCCACCCAGAGTACGAATAGTGTTGCTGTTAAATATTATTATTATTATTATTATTATTATTACTAAAATGCAACCAGCAATGCACGTCCTAGTGCCACATTTATGTGTTAAGTTAGAATGCCCTATCATAAAAGTCTGATTTTTTTAATTCCTAAAAGTTAATTGAGTCGGCTTGTAGAGCCATAGATATCATAGTTTTTCTTCGATTATCATACAGAACACCTGTCATGGTGAAATCTTGGATTGGACGTATTGAACACTGGTATCAGGCGGCTATCATTCCTTCATCAAAAAATATACATTTTATTACATTCTTTATACAAACTCTCTTGAAGCTTTTAAATATATTGTTACGAAAATCAAGACGGTTTAAAAGCCCTGCTTTTGGCGTTCGAAGTTCTTAGTCATTCACTTTCTTTCTCGCACCTTCATCGTGTCCTCCTTTTCGTCGTCTTCCTATTCGTAGCACCGCCATGACACTGCCCCCTGACAACGCATGAACCTCGCCCCGAGGTGGTACAAAAACTATTCAGTCGGGTTGATAGGGAATTAGCCAATCAAGATGAACTACGTGAACTCTCTGGCTCAGCAGATGCCAAACCCGGTAAACGACGTCGTTTAGTCGCTTGACAACTTCGTAGGGGTCTTCCCAATCTGGCTGAAGTTACGGGCAGCAACCTTTATCGCCCAGCTGCTCTGAACGATACATGGTACGGGAAGCCGACACTGAACGTTGCTCGTTGACAGACAAAGAAACCGGTTTTCTTCAAGAGAGAGAGCAAAAAGTCCCCCTCACATTTGTTCCACGCACCCAGTGGAAGGGAGAGAGGGTGCATGGGGAAACGAATGACAGCCGGTGAAACTTCCAGCAAAGCCGGGTCGTCTGGTAAACGAAGGTGGCTGCCGGTGATATTCCAGCGAAATCTGGTAACTGATAGTAGCTGTCGGCAATTTTTCCATTAAAGGGCCCATGAAACGATTTTTGGGTAGGGATAAATCATTTTAGATTGGGATTTTATTAATAGAACATCGTTCAGTGGGCCAAAAGCAAAAAGGTAGAAAGTCAAAAGCCTGACATTCAGTGCGAAAATTTGAAAACACAGCGGACTATTTCGTTCCTCCTTCCCTTCGTAACCGCTCTGCCTTTTCACTGAGATACATCCGCCGTCCCAAAAGCGTGTCATCGGGTCCAAACTGACGTCACACAAAACCTGACCTCATTTAGTCCCTTCACCCCTAAGCTGACATTGTGGTGGAAGCTACGCGCTTGCCGGACCAATCAGCCACCTCCGTTTCATCACCTGACTTCATTCTCTGCAGCCACATTTGCCACGCTTACGTGGCAAAAGTGTGGCTAGCCCAAGGAGCACGTAGCTTCCACAGCACTGTCAGCTTAGGGGTGAACGGGCTAGGGAAAGCAACTTTTGTCTGAGTTTTGAGCGACGGGCTAATCTTCTAGGGGGACAATGGCTCTCTTCGGGTACGCAAACCAGGCTCCGAGCGAGAGGGGCCTCCCTTCTTTTCGTCTTCTTGAACTGTTTGGTGGAATGCGCGATTTATGAGTTGAGGAGGAAAGCGAAACAGGAAAAAGTTGGAAAGGCGTTTCATGACCCCTTTAAATACTAGTAAACGGAGCTGGCTTCAGATGAAAACGGGTGAAACTTGAGCAGTTTTCACCGGATGTCACTGGAAGTTCTCTCTGAATTTTTCAATAGGGATGGGGCGTGGCCTCCGTACTCTTACTCCTCGCTAACTTTAGGCTTGTCGATACTGCCGCTGTAGGTTTGTGTTTCAACGAAGGCTGTCACGAAGCTGAATGGGTGCAATAAGCGAGCGCTTAATTAATTTTCCTGCAGTGCTGAGAAGACGCGGCGATCGAAACCGAAACCACGTCATTCGTTTGCCTGGCTAAGGTGTGGTACACCCTACCATGTCCAAAGATGCTCCATAATGCCACACTCGAAGTGTTGCATGCAGGGAATTTCGGATTTCGGAAGTAGCCTATTCTTTTTACAAAATATCACTACTGTTTTTCTTTTCTTCTTAAACCGAAACTAAACAGGAACTCATTGGGTGCACAAATAAATTATCCTAATATCATGAAAACCTAGTTAAATGGAGATGCGCCTTGTACACAACTGGAAGATGTCAAAGGAAACAATATGCCGGAGGCGAATAGCATAATGATGATAGTTGGCAAGAATTTTGCATTTTGCCTATAGACGCAAAGCGAGGTGACTTTGTCTCTACTACCGTGGTTTGTTAAAACTGTTTGAACGCGAGCACCGGCTTTCGGCGGTATTTCGTCCACATTCGAAACAGTTCACTGAAATTTAAAATAAACAAAAAATAGAAGACGTTCCCACGAGCACATAAAAACGACAGCTACAATAAAATAAACGAAATAACCAAAGCAATAAGAAACTGCAACGTCCATCACAAACACCGAAGAATTGCGCGTAAACACATTCTGCTTTTATGACTTCATCCGTAGTATCAAAATAAATCAAGCATTTTTTTCTTACAATAACACGCGCCTCGACTGAGCACGTCGACAATTAAAGGGAGGGGCGACCCTGAGAATAATTTGCGCGTCTCGGGTTATGGAAGCGACACCTCTGTGCACTCATATCCGAACGGTTTATGAAGCGGGCCTGCCGACAGACAAAGGAACAGCAGGTGCCATGCTTGAATCAAGTTGAATCACCTATACGCCATAATTATTCTAGGACTGTTTCGCCTACATTCTCCAGTTCTGTTTTATAATAGAGATCGTTGTGAAGGTGATCTAAGTTTATGGCAACTAGGTTTGCCAGTGGAAGTCATTTGTGTAGGTGGTGAAGGGCCCCTAGAGAGATCATCGCAGAATTAAATTTTTACAGAGAAAGATCTAAGCGAGAGGACAATATTTTCGTTAATAATATATATATATGTATAAATAAATAAATAAATAAATATATATATATAACTTCATCACTTGCTTCTCAGCTTGTCAAAAATTTGCGAAAATAGTTAGTTTACACCCTGAAATTTGTTTGTGTTCTATTCAAGACCATTCATATTGAACGTAATTTGAGTGCTGCTCAAAATGCGTTTTGAGTTCGTATCCTGTCCAACTGGGTTTTGTGACGCCCGAGTTCCACTAGAGCAACAAACAGAAACAAACAGCCACAGGCCTGAGGCCAGTCTTTTGCGATTTGGCAGGCTTCGTAAAATAAAGATGGCTATGCTCAAACACGAGCAGGATGCACGCGAGGGTGTCTTTGGCAGGCTTGCAATCACTCGTGTCTCCTTCGCGAGCACCGAACGACTAAACGCCTTCCGAAAGTACCATCGTGAGCATGCTATCTGTGTTTGGGGCTTGTCGCTCTCTTTTGTTTCTGTTTGTCGCTCTAGTGGGGATCGGGCATAAGTGACCTATACAGCGCTCTTACGTTCATTTGAACACTGTCACAGCCCTGAAATGATATGCTCATATGTACCGCATTTATTTATTGTGGGCTTTGTTATGGACTCCTAAAAAGAAAAGGCTCAGGTCAAAAAGAAATGTTGAGAGTGCCTACATGGGCATGTATTACAAATTAATGTTTCCACGAGGAGAATAGCAAACTTAGAAAGGTCTCGGGAATATAAAATGCACTTGATAACACAGTGTGATCAACCTCCTTTTGTTCACATCTACACTTCCTTAAAGGTCATTTGAAAAGAAAAAAAAATTTAACAGTCTGGTTGGGGACACGCGTGTTGACAAGTACACTTTATGACAAAAATATTTTAGAGCCATATTTGGACTTCTGCGCGCGAAGTCTATGACGTCACGGGTAATTCCAAAATGACCATCTCGGTCGTGAAGGCGAAGCCGATCCACCCCTGCTCCACACCCGAAAGGCCGATAGAAAAAAAAAAAAAGTGGAAAGGAGGTGACTGCCGACACAAACGCACCTAGCGCTGCAATATTGCTCTAAAATATTTTCTTTTTTTTTCGCGTAAACATTTTTTTGACACGCGTGTGCCATTCAATTTGTTAATTTGTTTATTTCCTTTCAGTGGATTTTTTAAATAATCTGCTATGAGATGTTCACTAATGGTGATACCGCGATAGAAATCGTTCTCTATTGTGATGTGTTCTTCGTTTATTTAAGAAAACTGTAACTTGCTTAAGATTTTTCTGAAGAAGATAATCTTATTCATAGTGCATTGCTTTTATCCTTGTTTATTATATCTCTGCAAAACTCACAAATATATGTAAAATTTATCATATAAATTAATGTAACAGGAAGGATTTAATCAAAATGTGACTATATTTCTCAAGAAACCGATGTCAACCTTTTCGGTGAGTGTCGTGATATTGTTTAGAATTCTTTCGTCTAGTCGACGTTGAAACATTTGACTATTCCTGCACAGCTAAATTTCTATGAAAGCAGTGTCAGTGAACTGATTCACGTCAGCCCAACAAACTTTCCCAAACTATTTTTAAGTAGTTATTAATAATAATTGAAACCGCCTAGATCTCCTCATATACACACGGTTATCTCCTACTTGCCATTTACAGCAGGCGAATGCTCAAGATACGCAAACAAAGGGAAAGATGATTTAACGGAGATATGTGGACGACGAGGAGTGCAGGATACGGTTTCTGAGCGAATTATTAATGGTACCGAGGCGATTCCGGGCTCCTGGCCGTGGATGGTGGGGCTGTATACTGCAGAAAACCAATTCACTTGTGGTGGCGTTTTAATAAGCCGCGAGTTTGTTTTAACTGCTGCTCATTGCTATTGGTATGTATACATTTGCTCCATCGTCTTTTTTTTTTCAAAAAGAGGATTAAGTTTCGAGAACCCGCGTTGAGTTCCGGGATTTGACATTAGTTTACGTAGGTTTATGAAAGTCAAACTGTTCACGAAGTATGTCAATGTCAATAACCGTAAGCGGGAATAAAGTGCGCGTGTTCTCGGGTACTGCCAGAACACCCTACCAGCCAAGCATATCTGCAGATCGTCCGAACCACTATGCTGCAGCCTCGCCATGCCGAATGCTCTGATAGCGTCTGATGTCATGCGTTCCCCTGTTCCCAGTAACTGCAATTAAGACCGTACAGAGACTAGGCAGACAAGTTTTGGGGCTGCGATTACGTAATCCTTTACTGAACCATTCTTAATTTTAATGTCTGTAAAAACAAAAAAAAAATAACCAGTTTCCGTAACTGCACTCTTAAGCCAAGATATAATTGGATACGTAGTCGCTCCCTTTTCTTTAAAATTGAAGTGGTAAACATTATGCAAACTATTAATGTCTTGTGTTCGTTTGTGCGATGTTTGCCGTAATAAATGTTTCCGTGTGTTAGTCGCCAACTCTATAGAAGTGTCACCCCTCTTAAACAGTCGTTTTCAGAGAAAAGTTGAAATATAAACCGCACCCACCCCCCATAAACGGATTGTTTTTCTAAAAAAAGTGGGTACATATCTAAGTTGCACTTTAATTTGTGCACCCTAACACGCGGCCCTCGCATCACGCCGCAGGTATTGGCAGCGCGCATGCGCAGAGCTCTACTTCACACGAATCCGGTTTCTGCGCTGGCGTGCTCGTGCGGGAACTGCGCCTGTGCCCACACTTGGTGGGGGCAACGGGCTCGTTGGCCTATAGGGTAACTCCACGCCAGAAGATCCAGGCCTAAGTTTCAACCTCACGGATCGTTTAAAAAAAAGAACATAGACTTGTATGTGCTATTGGTAGGATTCCGTATTTTCGTAGTTTATTTTTCCTGTACTTCGGAGGGTGTTTTTCGCCGTTTATTTCTAGCCAAAAATTCGGAGTTTACCGAAGTTTATTTTTCATTTATTTCCATGTCTATAAATCTATAAAACTCAAAATTTAATTTCGCGATGATTCCCATTAAAAATAAATAAATACCCAAGAAATATTTGGGTGTAAACGTATGCTAGATAAAAAAAAAAATAAACAAAACTCTCTTGTGTGAAATAATATCTAAGAGTTAAAAACAACGCGAATAGACGAGGACAAGACGAAGAAGGAACACGGACCGCAGCGCTGACTTACAAATGGATTTATAGATCGCAAAATCGCAATATATATTTGCGTTTTCACGAGCAAAAGGAGCAAAAGAGAGGAAACTAAAGAAAGAATTCTGCTCGCCGATACATCACAAACAACAAATAAAAACATAAAAAAGCCGCTATTTCACAGCCGTATAGAGCACGTGTTAAAAAAAAAAAAAACGAGCAAGCCAGAGATCGAGAAAATTCATCTGTTTGCCAGATAGGGCTACAGATGTACTGCTTACACATGCAGCGTCCAACCTCGCTTTCTAAGCATCCTCCAGATTTTCACCACTAAGCTGGTTCTTGTGACGCTTCCTCACACAGTTTGAAGTCGGGTAGGCAACCACAGTCGCAGCAATGAATGCCCACATGACCAGATACGAAGACACTGTAAGCGTGCTCTCTTAACCTGTCATTGAGACAGCGTCTGGCCAACGTAACGCTTGCCACACGTTAAAGGGAGAGAATAAACCACCCCCTCAGAACACACGACGAAACGATCGCGATTCCTCTTGTTGCAAGGCTCTTTCAAAGAGGGCTTAACAGTTCCGCACAACCTGGACAACTTGTCCGGAGAATAAAACTTCGACGTTACACCTCCCCGCAATGCGTTTTAGGTTGTGGGCCAAGCCGTGTATATAGGTAATGAGAACAAAATTTCTTCTTTTCCTTTCATTTGTTTACGTCTCCTTCACTTGTCACAGGCCTGGCATTGATATCTTTGAGCAGAGACTCGGCGACCGCTGTTAACACGTGGGAGGGGAATCCAGCATCTGCGAGGTGTTCAGTTTTCCTGTCACAGCTATGTTGGACTTTGTGGCAACAAGACTTCCGCAGCGCATGCGTATAGCAAGTCCTCGCAATTGCCCGCTTAAAAATGTTTGAGGGAGCGGACGCGAAGGGCAACAGCGGCTTTCCAGCATGCGGTTCATTGCTCTCACAAACATGGGCTGGACAAATAGTTAAACTGAAATCCATGAATCGGAAGCATCCTGCCTCAGGCACCTCATGAGTCAAAAGAAGTGCCGAAGGGCAATCACTGAAAATGCCTAAAACTTGAGTCATTGCCGAAAAAAAAGGACAAGGCATCGGCCTCTAACAAAACCAGAAAATCATCTACATACCGGAAGACATTTGCAACCTAATATATTCTCAGCTGAATTTTGCGCTCTTGCCATCGCTCTTACTAATTCGTCCAAAGACAAGAGTTGCACACAAGTGTTGCTTTGATAAACGTCGATACCTTAAAGACAATAAACTACTGGAAGTCGTTACTGAGAGGCTCGTATTCATCCCACCCTATTCCATCAACCTACCCCGTGGCCGACCGAGGTGAAGTGGTAAAGTGTCTAAAAGAGAAGTTTCAACTGCCCTTTTTGCCCATTTTGCAATCTCTATGGTGCACAGCTTTCAATGTTACATAGGACCCACCTCTCCTTCCTCTAAAACAACAATATGATGCCCCAAACTAAAACAGTGGCTTTTGACGCGACCTAAATGACATATGTTATCCTGAATGAACCTTGACGATGTAATCCGAAGGCCTGCTTCTCACAATGGTCCGAGATTAGAAAGTTGACTGTGGTGGCCATTTCCCAGAACCGCTTACCATGTGTGCTGATCAAGCCTAATTCTAAAATACGTTTTCATTTTGGGTGGGGGCACTGGCATATTGATGTTTGGTGTTTAGCGAAAAAAAATCCGAATTGACCTAAAATTTACCGGAGGGAGTTTTTCGTAATTTTTCGGATTTATTTTAAAACTCAGAACCCTAGTTGATATTGGCCATGTAAACATACTTTTTCTATGATATTTTTTTATATTTCATTTTATGACACTATGACACCTTGAAATTTATGAAAAACAGATCCAGACGGAGTAATAGCCCTATTCGTTCACAGAAAGCATTGAAACGAGAGTGCAAAATAAAGACCGCTTTAGTAGGTTTATATGTTCTATTAAATTATCCAGCGTGTTTTGTCACGGATTTCCAAGTGTTTTTAAGGAAGCAGATTTGTTAAAAATGGCCCAACATGTTTATATTCATCTGTTATATTAAACAACACGCCAATATATCAAAGCAAAACTGATGTGTGTTAGTAGTAAAGGAAGCTAAACATATTTTAAAAAAGTATTTTCACACATTACTTCTTACTGTTGTTTCTAAATGCAAAATAGTGAACCTATAGCAAAAACTCATTTATAAAAAATAGAAATCCTAAGGTGGGTCTAGAGATTTATCCTCAAGACGCTTTATACACGCGCCAGATTACAGCCGCCATTGCTGACCTTTCTGTGTCTTAACGAGATACCGAGTCACTGAAACCGTCGCTGACAAGCCTCCACAAGGGCGAATGCTGGGGAGAAGGACACAGTAGAATATAAAATGACAATTACCTCACCTGGTATGGCAATGATGAAGTGAAGTAAGCGGAGTAAAGGAAAAGAAAAAGTGAAAGACGTTTAAAAATTCTGTAACGTGCAATTAAAGCGTAGATCTTGAGGAGGAGGAGGGGAGGGCACACCCCTCCTTTTCCTTCATAAATCCCCTTTCGATCCTCCTCTGCTGCTCCTCCTCCCGTTCATTTCTCCTGCTCCTTTCCTCCTTTTTTCATCCTGCTCTTCTCCCCTTCTCCTCTTCTCCTCTTCCCTCCTTCACCTCCGTACCCTCCCCTCCTCCCTCTCCGTACCTTCCCTTTCCTCCTCCGTACCCTCCCCTCCTCCCACAGTTCCCCGCTAAATTTATTTGGAAAATAGACGCCACGTGACATCAACACCAATTCAATTTCCCGCTAAATTTAGTGTGAGAGTTCGGCCGACGGCGACGGCGTCGGCGATCGCCGAAGGCGACGCCGTCCAGCAACAAAGGAATAAACATAAAAAAAAAAAAATTAAGAGCGATTTTTTTATATGGTTTATTGCCAGAATGGACAATACTTAAAATCGTCAGTTCTCAAAACGAAAAAAAAAAATGGTTCGTCTAAAAGTTCATTTGAGCCTAATGCAGCTTGAAACTCGGAGAACAAACGAGCAAAGTTTGAAATATTATCTTCTAAAAGCGATAAATAATATATATATATATATATATATATATATATATATATATACTTTTTTAACACTCCCCGAATGCAACCCCATTGCGCCTAGTCTCTTAAAGGCCTTTAGTCATAGGGAGCACGACTCAAGATGGTCTTCTGGAACAAAAAAAAAAAGATATGTTTAATAAAATCTTTCTGGAAGCGAAATGCAACAATAATGCTCGAGAGCTTTTCTTTTGTCCATTTTCAAATGACTCAAATATTTAAAAAATAACTATTTAATTTTGATAAAAGTGTAGGAGGATAAGGTAAAAGGCGTCTAGAGAAGCCCTATTCCCTTCAGGGTTAGCTCTGTTATTATGCTTATTAAACGTACAAAGATAAAACCAAAATGGCCTAAAAAATAACTTGAGACTCTTGGGCAAGACAAAATCCGTTTCCAAGGATGAACGAAAGTTATTTGAAATATAACACAAAATAACAGAGAGGGTGTGAAATGGCACATAAGAAACGCAGACGGCAGCATTGCCACCTGATATCGTCGTCTTCTTTATGCATCTGACTCGATGGTCATTGACAAGCTAAGAATGGCAGGGACGAGCATCAGTTGTGCCACCTCCAGCTTCCTAGCCTCGATGCACTTAGGCGTCACGTGCACCTCGGCCAGGCGTGCCTGGCCAA